AAAAACAATGTTTTTTACTGTAAATTTGTTAATTTTCGATGGATTTTGTGATGGAAAGGATCTGTCAGAAATTTTATGACCGTTTTCCGACAAATTTACGATAGTTTTACGATCCAGTCTTCCGACAGATTTTCGACGGATTTCCGACAAAGTTTGAATTTTAATTTTTAAAAAATAATTTTAGATATTCATCGAAATTCTAAGAAAGTTTTGACGGATTTTCGGCGGAAGTAAGAGACACAAAATTATTAATTAATTTGTTCCGAAATAACCAAAATTACACCGCCAAAAGTCTAATTAGCAGGAGTAGGCGAGAATTTTTAAAAGTATATAAAATGAATCCCACAAATTTTCGACGGATCCAAAAAGATTCACCACTAAAAACCCAATCGGCGGAACAAGGCGGGAATTTTAAAATATTTTAACGGCCAGAACTTACAAAAGTTCTGACAGACTTCCAGCGGGTTTTAAAATTTTAACCTTTATAACTGACAAAATATTTTGAATTTTCGTAATTTTTCTGTATAAATAAAACCTCTTCTTCTCTCTCTAGATTTTCTTATTTTCTAAGCAATCCGAAAATAAGGTTAGTGTTTTATAAAAATAAATTTACAAATTTATAACTAGTATATTAGATTTAATATTGTTATTAATTTAGATTTAGATGGTTAGTTATGTTTGTAATGTATGTTGTATAATTTTCGGTGGTTAGTTAGGTTTATAATGTAAGTTGTATAAATATAGGTGGTTAGTTATATTTAGTATGTAATTTTTTTTTATAATGGTAGTGTTGTTTTTTTTCTTATTTCATGTTTAAAGAAGAAGATGAATGATGTTCATTAAACTAATATTATATGGTTGCTCAAAAAAAATAATATGAAAGAATAATCAAAAGAATTGGAAAATGTTCAAGAAAAAGAAGTGGTTAATGATGTTCATTAAGGTAGTATTAATGTATTTATTTTAATGTTTTTAAATGTGTGTTTGTATTCATAATTTGTGTGTGTTTACAGGTGTATTTTATTTAATAGATTTTTTTTTTAAATATTTTTTTTGTAATTTAAATATGGTCTGTCAAAAATCCATCAGAAAATATATTTTTTTCAAAAAAATCAATTAATAGCAATACAGTAAAAAAAATAGTAAAAAGAATACAGTAAAACAATTACATCATAAAAGAGTTTGGTAATTAAACTATCTATTGCTATTTATTTTTAACCTTGGAAAGAAAACAAAAAAGGACCACAAAAAATAATTTCATATAACAATAAATTGTTTCACACGGGATCAGAAAACTAGAAAGTTGAAATT